AACTCAATATTGGGAGTAAGTGGTTGATTGAAAATTTTTTTCATAAAACAGCAGTGTGTACTCAATCAAATTTCAAACTGTCTTATTCTGTGCACATCAGTCAAACAACGAATGTCATCATGGTATGTTGTCTACTAACTGAGAATGGTATCTGTTATTCTTACCATAGCTTTAGGGACCTCAACAAAATTGAGTTGATCCCACACACACTTAGATTTGTCTAATTCTGTCATTCAATTATTTTTATAATTTCTGTTCCAACTCCCGGATTCTTTCTCAATAAGGAAAAATGTTTCTACCTGATCTAAATGTTTCTGTTCACTTTTTTTGCCTTTCAGCACCTTCATTACCTGTCCAATGATATTAACTGTCATGTCTATATTCCAAGTGTATTACTATATCATATGTGTATTACTACTGTGATTTCTGTATTACTGTCATGTCTATATCCCGATGCTATCTACTTGCTTCCTTCTTTTCACTGAGCTTACCAGTGGAGTTACAGACATATCAAAAGATTTATGTTATCTATGTGTCCATTGATTAGTTGAGTCTAACCTCTACAAAACTTTGTCCAAGTCTTTAAAAGAGAACTATTGATGGACTGCATTCAAGTTGTGTAAATAAGAACAAAGTTTGCCAAACTTCAATTCATACACAGGACAAAACATCTTGACGTTACGGCTTAGAACCTTCATCAGAAAACAAGACACAAAAAAAGTATAACAAGTCTTTTTGTCCTGTTTATGAATTCAAGTTTGGCATACCTTGTTCTTATATTTAAAGTCTTTATAACATCAAGTCATGGCCATGGTGTCAAACAATTTCAAGGACCAGTTTGTGGATATATTTCATTTGATTGTGATGATGATTGAGTACTTTTATAGCGCTTTTGTCCATGCTATTTTAGCATGCTCACACCACTCTGATGTCCTAAAATCTATTTAAAGAAAAAAAGTCTTTAAATGTTTCTTAAATGACTTTTTATCATTTTCAATGTCTCTCAAAGATTCAAGCAAATTGTGGAGCTTGGATTGTTTGAAAAAGGTATCTTGATGTACCCGGTACCACCAACTAAAAATTAGGTGAAGAGCTTCTTCAAACCAGCCTAGCAGTGTTTATAATACATCAATTAAAGGTTAAGAATTGCTAATTTGGTATTTTTGTTTTTAAATTGATTAACATGTATTTATGATTTTGTCTTAGAATGTTAGAATTTCAATGTTTATATTTCCCCTCCAGTCCAGAGTGGCAGAAGTTAACTAATGAATGTAGTGTTGTTCGATGATGTCCTAGTTTTCTGATAGATTGTTTTGGTATTGATCACATACAGTCACTTTAATGTTTAAACTGGTACAGATGGATAATCAGAAAATCATCTTACTCCCTAACTAGTTTTTGGTAAAAGAATGTATAAAGTATTCTATTTTAATGTTATTTTTTATTTTTAAACCCAATATTTCCAACCCCAATGTACTGTATCACAATGCAATGTGTTTTAATTTACATTTCCCTTTAACCAATAAATTATGTATGCATTATTGGAAATTGTCTTTAAAGAATATGTTTAATGTGAGGTGCTCAAATGGCACTTGATCCTGGGAGGCAAATTTTAAAAAAAATTAATTTAAAACATTATAAAGAGACAGCATATTTAAACTCACACAGTACATAGTATATACACACACAGTAAATACACTGGCAGTTACATAATAATAGTACATCATCATCATGTCCCTTGGACCGTTGGGGCGCCACAGATGACATGTGAACTATCCTCCTCCATTCCTCTCTGTCTGCTGCACTGCACTACGCACAGCATCGCCCAGCGTTAGTCCTGTCCTCTCTTTGATGTTATCCTCCCATCTTTTTCTTCCTTTTCTTCTTCCTCCTCTTGTGGTGCCCTGCAATATTTCTTTGGCAAGCCCTGTTTCTTTCTTACGTGGCCGTACCATTGTAGTTTGCATTTTTTCACAGTCACCAGTAGGTCATCGTACTCCCCAATTGCCTGGCGAACCCTTTCTTTCACTGTATCATTGGAGATATGGTTCCTATAGCAGATGCCAAAAATGCTTCTGAAGCATCTCATCTCCATCGCCTTTATTTTCCTTTCAAGATCTGCTGTTAATGTCCAGGATTCGCAGGCATACAGGAAAATGGAGAGGACTAATGAGCGCATCAGCCTGATTTTGGTGCTGGGGGCTATATTTTTGTCATTCCATATTTTCTTGAGCCGCTTTAGTGCTGTTGTAGTCTGCGAAATCCTGGACATCAGTTCGGGCTTGGAGCCTTCTTCTGAGACTATTGCTCCTAGGTATTTGAAGCGGCCTACAGTCTCTAGTCTTTCGGCACTGATTAGCATGCCGTAGGACGACAAGGTCTTGTCGAGACGCTTTACCAGGTTGGCTAGCTCTTCTTCGTTCCCAGCCAATCTGTCTATGTCATCCGCAAAGCGTAGGTTGGTGATCGTTCTGCCACTAATGCTGACTGTCCCTTCATGCGCTTCCAGAGCATCTGACATAATTCTCTCTAGGAAGATGTTGAACAGGGTGGGGGAGAGCAGGCAGCCTTGTCGTACTCCAACTATGGTCTTGAACCATACATACACACAGTAAATGTACTTGCAGTTACATAGCACTACAGACACAGTAAATAATCTTGCAGTTACATAGTAATAGTACGTACACACAGTAAATGTACTTGCAGTACATACAGACAGCAAATATACTTGCAATTAAACAGTGGCGTAGCTAGGTTTGGTGTCACCCGGTGCGGTAAACTCTGTTGTCACCCCATTCCCAGTGACTTTCAGGATGAATTGTTCTTGTTAAAAAAAGTCCACAATATAACAAAGTCTTTTTGTATTTAGAATCGCCCGACGCCATCCTATTTGTTATCAACAGAAGGCTCCTTTTCTCAAACTTTAGATAAATATAGTCGCCTGACACTTACGAAAGTTACCGGACAATCAATAGGCTTTGTATCATGACATGATTATAGGGTCACTCATCAGGGTCGGCTCAACGGTTGCTGGCGCCCCGGGCAAGCTTAACTTTTGCGCCCAGTTTAATGATATTCATACATTTTTTTGCAAGGCAAAAAAAATAAGGGTTAGGTAATGAGTTTATTAAAAGGTTGTTGTTTTTTGTAAACAATGAGTAATAAAATTGTTTTTTCTGAACTTGCATTTTGATGGTATGAACAATTAAGCTTAATGAGACTTTAGGCCGAAACAGATGCCGAAACCAAAAGATTAACAAGACTTTCAGCCAAAACTAATAACAGCTCTCGATAACAATCAATATGAGAGAATATAGTGTATAATGGCTTATGTATTTTACACCTTGACTAGGCATTCTATGGAATGGCTGGATTACACACTTCACCTGTAAAATTAAAAATATGAATAAATCTAATTTGTTTTGTAATGCAATTCTAGAATACAGAAAATCAATACTAGACCAAAAATTTAATTTAAAGTTGCTTCCACCTACTATAACTAGTACTTGGCTTGCAATATAAAGTAATAGTTATAGGAGGTTTATAGTATATAGCCTAAGAAACTAATACTACTATATTAGTATTATTACAACTCTTTAAGTTATTTAAGTTAATATTTCTTAAATTTAATAATAAATTTTAAATAATTGCTAAGTTAATTTAATATTTATTACTTAGCCTACTTAATGTGTGTCTTTACTTTTAGTCATGGAGTCTATTGTTATGTAGTATTATATAAGTCCTAGGCTAAATCCCATGAAGCTAAGAGAATAACCACAGCTGAGACATGCAGGCTTGTCCGAAAGAGCAACATAAGGTCATCGTCTGAAGCAACTATTCCATGCCCACGGTGTCATATATTATTCCGAGCAAGGATCGGTCTAACAAGCCACCTAAGAGCTCACCGTAATCCCAACCCCCCCGCCCGCCCCTAACCGGATGATTCGATGGTCCTTGTCGACTTCGACGGACGAACAACTACTAAGTATTATATAAGTCCTAGGCTATAATCCATTGTTGTATAATTAAGATCAAATTATGAATTGTACAATTATTGACATAACAATCAATGACTTGTTTAAAATTGGGTAATATATAAATTAGGCTATAAAAATATTTGTTAAAAGTCATTAAATACGACTCAACAACATCATAGTAATTATATTTTTATTAACACTTAGAAAAATAGTTTATTAGTTAATCGTATTTTACATTGATTTGTATGGGAAAAATTGTTTCATTTAACGAGTGTTTCACTTAACGAGTAAGAGTCTGGAACGAATTTAACTCGTTATGAGAGGTTATACTGTATATTGATGTTGGAAGTAACTTATGTAAAGTAGATACAATTGTTCAATTTTTGACAAGGCTTTTCTTGAATTGTTTACATTTTTCTTCTCTTTCAATCAATGTCATTTTTACATACATTAATAAAACTACATTTAAGTGTGCAGTGTTGGTTTATCAATTCTAGTGCATGAGCTGGAAGGAGTGAGTTAGTGGAGGGAGTGAGTGAGCGTTGTGTGTAAGTTAGTGTTGGGAATGAGTTAGTGTTGTGTGTAAGTTAGTGTTGGGAGTGAGTGAGTGTTGTATGTGAGTTAGTGTTGGGAAAGTTTGTGAATAGGGCTGATTGCTTAAACATAACTGTCAGTATTCCTCAAATACAAGACCACAGCATACTGGTCCTTCTAGCATTCAACAGCCCAAAGGAAGATTAGGGATTTTTTTAGAGTTAAATTGGAATCTATTTTGTTGTTTTTGTTTAGTATTGGATTTTATTATATTTTTTGGGGCTTGTTTTCACCTAGTTTGTTTTTAATTAGAGGCTTTTTTTGGGATTATATTTCAATTAAGATTTTTGTTTAAATTTTTTTCAAGCATATGTGATCTATTTAGATCTGAGTTTTGAGTTTTATTCATTATTTTCTATTTCTCCTTCTTCTTTATTTTGAGGGCCCACGATCAATGAATTGATCATTCTGGCTCCTATGTTTCAGAGGGGTTTGTGATGTTACTGTGCATGGTTTTCAAGGGGATACTTCACTGGTTGCAAGGGCTACTCAGCAGTGGTGTTATGAACTGGGGGTTGGAATACAGGAGGCAATAGACACACATGTGTCGAGTGTAGCTGCCTCAACTGTTGCTTTTGGAAGCTTGTTCCAGTCCCCTATTGTCTTTGGCAGGAATGAGGAGCTCCTGTACTGAGTTCTTGTTTTTTACCAGCCGGAACTGTCTGTCTTGGCCTCGTCGCTGTCTGGGGGGAAGATGGACGAGTTTCTGTTTGATGCCGGAGCAGTGGACCATTCCATTTTTTATCTTGTACAACATGGTGAGCCTGGATAGTCGTCGTTCTTCCAATGCTGACCAGCCCAGTGTTTCTAGCATGCTGCCAACACTAATTTTTTGGATGTTGTTCAAAGTTATTGGATTATGTGGCTTAATTATTTTTAAACATGATTTTATTTTTTTAAATTATCTTGGGTATTATTTTATTTTTCTGATGTTATTCGCCTTTGCTTGCTTTTATTGAGTGTAGTTAATGAGGATTATTATAACTTGTAAAGCATATATATTAAAAGACACAAACTATCCTTTGAATAAGAGCATAATGATGCGTTATTAAAATAACACCAAACATTTTGGCTAAAAGTCTTTTAACTATAAACATGGATACACAATACTTGAATTAAATTGTTAACTAAAATACAGGGTATATAATTGAAATTGGAGGAGCAAGCATCCTGTAGAAACACCTATAGAAAAATGAAAGAGAAGGTGGGGTATAACAAAATAGCAGTTATGTGAACTTGTAGATATGGTTGATGACTTTGCCAGCCAAGTAATATGACTTTTATTTTCAATATCAATTCTTTCTGATGCACCACAATAAAAGCATGCAGTACATCAACTTCAGCATTGGGTAAAGCATTATCTTGAACTATAAGCAACAATGAAAGTAGTCACGGACCGCTCTGAATAATATTCCCATCCTGTCAATAATGAAGAACTAGATGAAGAGCTAACTAACTTTGCAGGAACTCGAAAAAGCAATTAACTACCTTGCTATGGGAAGGCTACAGGGATTGCCATATAATCCTCAAAAATTGACAACCAATACTACTTCAGCTCTTACATGAGCTCCTCTGTCTGTGTTGGAAAGCAGGACATGAAAAACACCATCATTGTAACATTGTACAAAAATAAAGGTGACCGTGGCGATTGTAAAAATTACCAAGGAATTCTCTTCTTGGCTTGGACAAGACGTTTGCCCACGTCGACCTTACAGGATTGCAGATTCTGGCTAACCACATCCACCCAGAATCCAATGTAGCTTCTGAAGTGGTCGTTCAACTTTGGACATGATAGTCTCCTTTCGTCAATTGCAGGAGAAGTGTCGTGAAGAGCATGGGCCTCTTTATATTGCTTTCATAGATCTGACAAAGGCATTCAACTTGGTAAGTTGGAGAGGCCTGTTCAGTATCATGCATAGAATAAATTGTCCCCCATGACTGCTCACAATCATTTCACGAAAACATGCACAGCACAGTAACCTTCAATGGCGCGGTCACTGGGGCATTCCCAGTCAACAGCCGAGTAAAACAAGGTCATGTACGGGGACCAACGCTTTTCTCCATTTTCTTCTTGATGCTTCTTAAATTTGCCTCCAGGGACTTTGAAGACAGTGTATACATCCATACCAGATCTGATGGTAAGCAGTTCAATAACACCCGCCCCTCATGCAAAGACCAAGCTAATAAAGGTACTAATTCGTGAACTGCTGTTTGCTGACGATGCTGCCTTAGCATGGCACACAGAAGAAGGTCTTTAGCAGCTAGTTAATTGCCCCTCGAGTGAAAGTAGCAACTGAAACTGTTGTAAAACATGTTCTAATGATAATGGACTGGCTAAGATCAGCTCACAACAGGCTGTATTTAAAATCAAGGATGTATCTTCATGCACAAGTTAAAAGGTGATTTACACCAGCCTAAGTAAAAAGTGACAGCAGTGCTACATAGCTGACACACACCTTCCCATTGGTGATTGGTTCATATAATATTTGTAAAAAAAACAAGAACATAAATATATCTTAATTAGGGTAATAGGGTGATGTGTGCAACAATCATTGCAAACTTTCTTGACAATGAATATGATAAGAAATTCCATCATTCGCTCTAAAGATGAATAAAGATGAGAATAAATATTTCTAGAAAAAAATAAAATATATTTTCTCTCTGACTTTGAAAGTGGCTTTAAGAAGTTCTTGTCTGTTCACAAATGTGATTGAATCGTCTGAAATTAAAACAAAATAATTTTCCTTCAGTAAATTATGTGATTAACAAATTCTTTTTTCTTCAAAAGTTTAATAAAATCCTATCCAGATTTAAATATAACAACACTTAGTCAAAACTCCATTACACATTTAATTTTTTAAACATAAAACAGTCAACAGAAAAAGATAAGGTCAGGGCCAAAAGGCCAGAATATATTTTTTTATACCTTAAATCTGCAACTATTCTTTATAATTGTAATTATTTATTTATAATTATGAAATTATTTTGATTATTATTATATATATATATATATTAAATGTCTTTTATCAGAGAAACAGAAAGAATTTATTTAATAAGAATTCATCACAAAGGGATTTATTTTTAAAAAAGGGGTAATAAGGGGAGAGACTGCAATCAGGTTAGTACAAAATAAAATGAGTAAAACAGAGTAGGGTTAAACCTGAAAAAATAAACGCAACAAAACAGCGAACGTGTCGGCAGAAAGCCTTCGTCAGCGAACAAAACAACAGAAAAAACATAAATCAGGTTAGTACAAAATAAAATGAGTAAAACAGAGTAGGGTTAAACCTGAAAAAATAAACGCAACAAAACAGCGAACGTGTCGGCAGAAAGCCTTCGTCAGCGAACAAAACAACAGAAAAAACATGTGTCGGCAGAAAGCCTTCGTCAGCGAACAAAACAACAGAAAAATAAAGTTTTTTCTGTTGTTTTGTTCGCTGACGAAGGCTTTCTGCCGACACGTTCGCTGTTTTGTTGCGTTTATTTTTTCAGGTTTAACCCTACTCTGTTTTACTCATTTGATTTATTTTTAAGTAGGGATTTATTGAAAAGGATTTTGTAACTTAGTGATTGACCCCATTGTTTGACTCACCTGGCATGGTTAGGTTTATTTCTTTGAGTATGACAATGCCGACCCCAATAGCAGTTGGTTCTGTTTTTAACTTCAGCTGTTAAATGATTAAATGTGTACAACTGTAATGCAACATTTATAATTTAATTCTCATGGCTGACATTTTCCTATTCCATTTAATGTGTGCAAATTGAATATTGGCAGATACTCTAAGCAACAAGACAAACTTATGCCTTAATTATAGAAAACTTTTCTTAAAATCATTGCTACAAAATTCTGACCTGGTAATTCACCCAGTGGAATGTCTCTCATGTAATTGTAAGCCAAATCTCTGAAGTTCCTCAGCCCACATTCATAACATACTGGTGTGTTGATACCATCATTGGCAGACAGAACGGCCTGATCTGATCAACAGAAGTAAATAAAAATAATAATGTAGCGGTATTTAATTTAAAAACAATTCCCTTAATCTATAGTTTCTAAAGAATCTGATTATAATTCAAAACGTCATTTCTTGGAGCTGTCAATATATTTATTGGTCAAGTGGTACAAACTGAGTCAATCCCATTTTGTGGTCTGGAGTTCAAACCCCACCAAAGACCAAGTCAAGCAAAAAAACAACACCAGCACCCCAGGTAGATGGGACCTGTTAACCTTGGATGGAAACTCATCAATGAGAAGTAACCTGGAGAGGGAGTCCCGTAGGCGGATATCTTAATACAATAAAAAATTATGGCTACTCCTGCAACAGGTGCCAAGCTGAATCCATGCGTTGTGTTCTCTTGGGCTATCCAAGTGTGTGGAGAGAGGTGATTTGCCATCTAGGGAACCAGCTTATAGTCCTAAAGAGAAAATCCCAGGCCTTGTGATTTTGTCCTGCAAAGTCTACACCATCGTCACATTGTGACAGATGGATGCCATTAAAAATGACTTTGAATGAACCAATGAATGAGATAAGCCAGTTGTATTTTGCCTACAACTATGCAACTGACATTTAGATGAGTTATTAAATAGTACAAGACCTGAGCTTTCCAACAGTGTTAAGAACGTACTAATAAAAGCAATATCTCCATTTTTTTTAACGAAAGTTTTCAACCGGCTTTTTCAAACTGAAAGAAGCAAGGTAGATATACTTTCTATACATCAAACGAAAGGACACTATCTGCTCTTTCTTATGGTGGTAGAATAATTCTGATAACTTAAATAGGCGTGAAGCCGCAAGCGTTTGAAACACCTTGAGGTAAACCGGCACTCTCGAAAACGCCCTAAAATTTGTAAAACTAACACTTTCAGAGACAAGTTAAAGACACAGAAGTAACATATTTTGCTAGATAAAGACTTAAACTTTATTCGCATATAAATTTTATTGGTGTAACACTACTAGAAATAGTTTTTTTTGTTGAAAACTTTGAAAAATGACCCTAAAAGCATTTTTTCTCCAATTTGGACTACTGTTACCTAGTTATATTCTTATTATCATTTAATACAATTTATTCAGGAGTATGTTATGATTAAAAGCTTAAAGATAAATTACTTTAAACAATACTAGCAGTAAAAACTGTTCTTACTTGTACACACATACTCTCCTAACACCATCTTGGCCAGACATGCTGCAAGAACATCATTCACCGACAATCCTTTTGTCTCCATGTAATTCTGAGGACAAAATATTAAAATAAGCGCATCATGATTATTAGAATTATACATGTGTAAGGGGAGCATGTGGTGTGTAAATGGGGCAGGGCTCCAGGCAGTTGTAAAAATAGAAACCATATATTCTAAAATTATTTGTCTACTTTGTTGGGTTTTTTTAATTGCATTGAATTTTTTAAATAAGAATAATTATTTCTTATACATTTATTATGCATAGCAAAGTAGCCACTAGAAGCAGAAATTAAGAACAATACAACACACAACATGGCATTTAGCAATTAATACCAAGCAAAGTAAACTCACTTTAAATATTTCAGACTCATAGGCATTATTAAGTATTAAAGAAGCAAGACATTTTTCCCCAAAATTCATATCTGAAAAGAAATGGATAAATTATTATTGAATTTTAAAAATTTAAACTAACTTGTGTGTAACTCAACGTCTATCTTGTGTATAACTCAATATCTAACTTGTGTGTAACTCTACATCTAACTTATGGGTAACTCAACATCTAACTTTTGTGTAACTCAACATCTAACTTGTTTATAACTTGTTTATAACTCAACATCTAGCTTGTGTGTAACTCAACATTACGAAGCAATTAAAAAAACAGTATAGATTAGAATCCCCCAATGTGCATTTCCAATTAAAATCTATTCAAAATCTGTAGGGTAAATTGTGTTATGTTACCTTTAAATTTTCCCAAACAACCATTACATTCCAGTTTCCTACAGCCCCAGTACGCATGACAGTAAGCTCTGTAGCAGATTCCACCTGCGTGAAATTATATATAAAAAATTCTAGGAATTCAGAGCACAATTTTTATTTTTTATAATCTAGACAAGTTTTACAGAAAAAATTTGAAGGAGTATATCAAAAATTATGTGACATAACTGCCAAGTAAATTCTCTGCATTATTGAACTAAAAAAGTGGTTCACCATTTTATGCTACAGCAAAAGCATACATTAGATAATGAGATATTGATGACAACTGTCTACACTGCTGAGCTAGAAATAGAAAGAAAAATTATTCTAAAATTGCCTTACACTGCTGTGGTGGTATTTGGTTATTTTTCCTCCTGTCTGGCATTGGTTGCATACAACACAGACACAGGACATGGTTGCCATTAGGAGCACATGTAAAGTTGGGCGCAGTAGGAAGGATCTTTGCACCAGGATTGTCACTGCCTGCGGAAAAGAAAAAAAAACAATTTAACAGCTACAGAGCATTATTACACATGATATGATTCATTGTATACCGGTATGAACTGGTATTTACGATAGCAAAATTATTCAGTTAAAAGGCAAGAATGACTTGTAAATGACTAAGTTTAATTAACCTAGTGCAACTTCTTTAGTGTAACCGACCTAGTGCAGCTGATCCAGTGTAACAAGGGGTAACTTGTAAAAGTCAGAGACTGAAGGAGGAATCCTCTTTAGTAAATCCTAATAATTATTGTCCCACTCCATAAAACAAGTCCTTTGATTTGGATGGTTATAATTAAAATATTACTGCATAAATAAAATCTTACCACTGCCTGATGGTCCAGACAGTGCAGCAGTTAATGTTGATGTGCTGGCAGCTAGTCCCATCCCTCCTACAGCACCTCTAGTGGGGATGGCAGTTGAAGCTATAATTCAATGATAGGCATTAGAACATTCTTCCTCCTCATTTATAATTTATCTTTTTAATTTAAGTAATCATAGTAATTTTAGCAAAACAATTTAACTCTCGGCTAAGTCAAATTTTGAAGTAAAATTATCCAACTTGACGAAGTAGAGTAAATTAGAGCTGAAACTATCTCCTAATACCTCTGAAAATAAAAGATATAAGTATAAGAGTTACCTCCAACTGGTTGTCCTAAACTTGATGTGTCAACAAAATTAGGACACTGTCTGCAAACTGGTTGAGCTGCCCTATGGAGACAAAAATCAACTTAAAGTCAGATCTTTTAGCAAATTCAAAGAGTTATATTAATGGTAACGCCTAATGTAATGCAATGCATGTTGATAAATCATATAAGCAGAACATTCAATTGAAGGCTGCTATCAAAGCAAGATAACTATATATAATTGTAACCATACAATTCTTTTGACCAGTTCTTGAGTTAAAGAATTCTTAGAAAATGGACGCACCTGATGACCTCAACTGTTGAAGACAACTGAAGACCTCACATGTTGAACGCAACTGATGACTTCACATGCTGAACACAACTGATGACTTCACATGTTGAACACAACTGATGACTTCACATGTTGAAGACACCTGGTGACTTCACATGTTGAAGACACCTGATAACCTCACTTTTTAAACACACCTGATGACCTCACCTGTTTATTGCTGTCCCAAAAAATGGTGTTCCGATCCCAAACACCATCCCGCCTTGGTTGAAGAAATTGTTTGTGTTGTTCAACAAGCCCACAGGACCATTGAAAGGGCCTTGACTGAAATGATCACCCTGATCATCAGTTTCATCCTCATCACAGTTTTCTTCACTATCTTCATCATCCGCATCTGTCTCCTTTTTTGCTGGATAAAGCTGAAGTTAGAGAGAAATCCCATATGATTAGTGTATGTTTAACACAAACCTGCTAGTGTTCTCTCTTCAGTTTACATTTTACAAAACAATAAGTCAGCTTCCTTTAAAAATTTGATCAGGAAATTAATAATAAATGAAGGACTGCGTTCAAACTATGTGAAGGCAATAGTAGCACAAGGTATGTGGAAGTTTGAATTGAAATACAGGACAATAAGTCAGACCTGTTTACCCTCAAACTCTTAAAATCATCCAATATCATCACAAAATCGTCCAATACCTAATATTTATAGTAAAAAATAAACATATAGTATATATAATGTATACACCTCAAAATCGTACATTGTACGCCAAAATCGTAAGAGTAAACAGGTCTGATAAGTGAAGAACGTTTCAACTAAGAGTCTTCCTCAGCAGACAGGACAAAGGAAAATACGATAATAAATTGAAACTATTAACAAACTATTAAGCGTTCGCCATTGTTATTGCCAGAACGTTATTCTCCTTTTCTCCTGTATTTAACCCAAGCTTCCTCATACCTTGTTCTACTATTTTATATCAGGAAATGACTAAAAAAAAATATTGAAACAAAAATCTTCCTCAGTATCTTAACTTATTTGACATTGCTTTGAGTACATTTACCATTTCCCTTGTTATTTTATTTTTGGTGTCCAGAGCTTGTATGTCTTCCTCAGGCCTCATCCTCTCTTTGTTGAAACAGTAACAAGAAATAATTTTAGCCAAGAAAATAGAATTTATATTTTGATGAAACGAGAGCTACACATAATACACTTTTAGTTTTAAAATGACAAAAGTCAATAAATATTTTTAATAGAAGAAATCAGAAGAGAAACAGCAGTTTTAGTTAGGCCTATATAATAAATTAAAGTAGCACTTGCAATCAGTGAAATCAACACCAGGCACAGAACACATTGCAAATCCCCTCTACATGCATAGGAGCCAAAATGATCAATAAATTGATCGTGGGCCTTTAAGATATAGAAGAAGAAGAAAAAATATCAAGGGAGACTATTTGATGTCATCACATACCTGGCTTGACTTTAAGGTAGGCTTCCACAAGGTTATTCACAATGTGGTTTTTGTTGATGCGCTCCACCTTCACCCGACACTAAAAAGCAGGTATTCAAAAGTATGTTTAATAAACAGAATAATTAGGAATAAGGTATGTTTAAATTGAAATCTAATTTATTCAGCTAAGAAAATTATTACATTGATGTTTTTACATGAACAAACAATCAATGGGGACTTTGTAATATAATTTAGCTCTAGATTTGAAAATTGTAAACATTTTACACAAAACAACTTACTGATGGACATTCATTAGATCTTTCCATCCACTCAGAGTAACAGCCACCACAGAAAGAATGCATGCATGGCTGTAGACTAAAATTTAGTCAATATAATGACATGTAACGTAACATTGACATATTGACACCCAAACCAAAAGACATTCATGAAGCGGCTCAGTGCTTAAAACTTGGTTTGTGTTAAAAAAATGCCATTGTGACTGATTACAATAGAAATACTCAATGAGTTCTTGCAGCCCACCATGAGGGAATGAATTTTCTGATCATAGTTATTGCAATGAATAGTTCAACAAAAATATTATTAGTTTACTAATGGAATAGTTAACATTGGTATAATATTATTAGTTTACTAATGGAATAGTTAACATTGGTATAAAATTGCTTCTAATTTGAACAGTTGAAATTGTAGTTTTATAAAATCATAATTTAAGTTTTAAAATATTAATTAGGATTCCAAATTCCATAGTTGAGTCATAAGAAATAATTAAAGATAGGGCATTAAGCTCTCCTTGTTGTTAAAAGGGTCAATCATTAGTTACTGAAGCCAACTGTAGCAAGGTAAAGTGCTGCCCAGGCAGGCTGAAAATTTTGCCTCTTCTCTTCCATGAACACAATTCTGCCAACAAAGCCACCCTTTATATAAAGAAAAAATGGCCCACCCCAACCCTGTTCTTTGAACCGCCAATTTTCACACACAATCTGGGTACAGTACTCTAGAGACCAAACAAAAGTGATTTTCTGATTCTGGCCGAAACCCAAAATAGGCCGAAAGTTTAAAAATGACTTTCGTCCGAAACCAAAAATAGGCCAAAAGTTACAAAATGAATTTCGTCCGAAACCGAAAGATTAAAGAGACTTTAGGCCGAAACCGAAGCCGGAAATGAAATATTTAGATATTTTGAAATTCGTAAAAAAAAAATTGAAAATGATGGGGAAAGTATCAATATGTACATTCTTTTTATAAAAATGAGATAATCATGAATATTAATAAATAAACATCTAATATAGGGGTCTCAAACTCCCGGCCTGCGAGCCATTTGTGACCGGCAAGACGATATTTTGCGGCCGGCTACATGACAGCAAAGTTAAGTGTTAATGCGCCGGAGCGTTCTCATTCTCATATCTATCAAGTGACTCTCCGTGACTGTTTCAGTCAAATCTCACCGACTAGTCTAATTCTGATTTTTTTTTTTTTATGTTTCTATATATTTTTGTATGATGATTATATTGGTAAGAATAATTCATAAATATGGCCTGCTCCTGCCTACTGCTTGACACGTTTTAGCATTTAAAACCTTCATGGATTAGGATGGGGTGGTTGTTCCTGTACTAAGTGATCCAAAATGGCTCATGGACTTGGTTTTTCTTGTTGACATTACACAGGAGCTGAATGTACTCAACAAGAAGTTACAAGACCAGGGGTAGCTTGTCAGTGTTGCCTATGACAATGTCAGGGCATTCGGCACAAAACTTGTGTTATGGTTCTTAGAGAAACCTCTTCCATTTCCCAACATGCAAAGTACTCATGGACTCGGCACACCATTCAGTAGTAACTTAGTAGTAAGTATACTGATGCCGTTGCAAAGCTACAGAAAGAGTTTGATCACATTTTTGAGAGTTCAAAACACTGACGGCCACTTTTCAGCTTTTTGCTGACCGTTTCTCCTTTAATGTGCAATATGACCCACGCAGGGAGCTGAATGGAAAAACAGACAAGCATGGACATTTTATTGCATTGCCCTCCACCTTCCCTGAAATTTTTAGGTTGTTCAAGCGGATCATATGACTTTTTGGGAGTACCTATCTGTCTGAAAAGCTCTTTTCCACTATACACTTTAACAAGTCAAAGTTCTGGGCCAAACTTACTGATTAGGATCTTTAAGCTATACAGTTGCTTCCTCACTTAAGCCAAAGTTGCTCAGCTGTGTAAAAAGAAGCGCTGCCAGGTCTCTGGCAACAGTGAGTAGGTGGAGGAAAGTGAATCCTAGTTCTTGAGAAGCCGTAATGTTTTTATTTGTTATTTATTAAGGTTGAGCAGATTGTAACAGGTTGTACTTTAATGAATTTGTGGAATACTTGGCAAAATTAATGCAAAATAGACTCTTGAGTGCCCTTTGCTTTTATTATATATTTACAACTTAGAATATATACCAACAATAATTATTGCGATTGCCACCTAAATATATGTTATTAAGGCTATAAAAATATCACCACAATTTTTCGCTGTTTTCGTAATACTAATGCTTTGTGTTAAAATTGTTGTTCTGATTGTGGGTCTCAAAGGAAGAGTCGCAAAAGACACCTAAATTGGTCGCCAATTTCATAAAAGTACACAGGTCTGCAGTAGACCTAATACATAATTAAAATACGAATCCGTGATACATGCAAATGCATGTTATTTCGTCAATAACAATGTTTATGGGCATGATAATGATGAAGTTCAAGAAATGAATGGTTTGAAAAGGCATACGTTTGCTTTTTAACATTATGAAAAAATTATTTTTTTTAAATGGAAATTTTACCATTCCCATGGATTATGCAATATTATTCACCTTTGCCTATGACAACATTGATGAGCATGATAATGATAAATCAAAATGAATACTAAAAATGAAGGAATGAAGCCGAAACTGAAAATAAACCGAAAGTTAACTTTTCTCTTTCGGCCGAAACCAAAATTAAGCCGAAAGTTAACTTTTCAGTTTTGGCCAAAACCGAAACTAGGCCAAAAGTGATAAAATGGCCACTTTCGGTGCCGAAACCGAAGCCAATATTTGGTCGGTCTTTACAGTACTCGCTACTTCAGAGCATCTAACAATCATAGTCATGAATTTCAGACAACATTGATGAGCATGATAATGATAAATCAAAATGAATGCTAAAAATGAAGGAATGAAGCCGAAACTGAAAATAAACCAAAAGTTAACTTTTCTCTTTCGGCCGAAACCAAAATTAAGCCGAAAGTTAACTTTTCAGTTTTGGCCAAAACGGAAACTAGGCCAAAAGTGATAAAAGGCCACTTTCGGCGCCGAAACTGAAGCCAATATTTGGTCGGTCTCTACAGTACTCGCTACTTCAGAGCATCTAACAATCATAGTCATGAATTTCATCATACAATCATGGCATTATTTGATACAATCATACATTACTAGAAATAAATATGGCATTTTCTGATACAATCATGGATGGCGTTAGTAGAAATAAATAAGGCATTATCGGATACAATCATGGCATTGTCTGATACAATCATGACATTACCTAATACAATCATGAAGCAACTCCTGACAAATGATACACATCAGGGACTCAGCAATGGCATCTTCCTCTGGTTCAGCTCCCAAAGATTTTCTTTCTGAATCAGCTCCTAATGTGTCGTCAGTTTTGTCTGTCATTTCAGATTTGTCTCTAGCGACATCTTTTGGATTGTCTTCTGCAGTACGTGGTTTCCCTAAAAGAATGAGACATCAAAGAGTGAGCTTGTGTTAAATGTGTAATATGAATACCGGTATGTTAAACAAGTAAATAGCAGCAATAAACATGATGGAGAAACATGTACAGATAAAATTATGCACTGCTTACAAATTATTAAGACATTGCGTAGTGCTCTTAGTTTAAAGGGTTGAAAAAGGCTGGGATTGATTAAATAATTTTGGATAGGTTGTAGTGTGACACAATTAACTTAACATATGTCTATTTGCTTCCAATAATTGAGAATATGTTTTTTTGTATGTTATAAATAGAAGTTTTTGAAAACTGATTGTTGTGCATGAACACCTTAAAATTCCTACTAAATTTATGATGACATTTACGGATAATAATAATAGCATAATTTTTCTTAAGTCAATATCCATTCACCTGTTGTGGAGATGGTGACATCTGGCAGAGAATCTGATTTTGATTTTTTGCAAGATATTGGGAAAATTTCCATTGATTTCTTTTGTTTGATGAGAAATAACATGTTTTATTAAAAAACAAATTATAATTTCAAAAATGTTTGTTTATTCAATATTAAAAACTGAAGACTGTGATTTTTATTTCAATACAAACTAAATTAAGCACCTTCATTATGAACACATCTCCCTCCTACCTCACTGCCTTCATTATGAACATCTCTCCTTCCCACCTCCCCACCTTCATTATGAACACATCTCCCTCCTACCTCACTGCCTTCATTATGAACATCTCTCCTTCCTACCTCCCCACCTTCATTATGAACACATCTCCCTCCTACCTCACTGCCTTCATTATGAACATCTCTCCTTCCCACCTCCCCACCTTCATTATGAACACCTCTCCCTCCTACCTCACTGCCTTCATAATGAACATCTCTCCTTCCTACCTCCCCACCTTCATTATGAACACATCTCCCTCCTACCTCACTACCTTCATTATAAACACCTCTCCCTCCTACCTCACTGCCTTCATTATGAACACATCTCCTTCCTACCTCCCAATCTTCATTATGAACACATCTCCCTCCTACCTCACTGCCTTCATTATGAACACATCTCCTTCCTACCTCCCCATCTTCATTATGAACACGTCTCCCTCCTACCTCACTGCCTTCATTATGAAAACCTCTCCTTCCTACCTCTCCACCTTCATTATGAACACCTCTCCCTCCTACCTCAATGCCTTCATTTTTTATGAATTTTTATATATTTATTCACTTTGAGTGGGATGGATCACTTACACGTTTCCATAATGGCAACAGACTTGACCCCTCATTAAGAGCATCATCTTTTGGCAGAGGAATATCAGTTTGGAGAAGAACGAAACATTAAATAAATTATAATATGCTCAAATTGTTTGCTGCTGGTAAATTTGCAACTGTCATTAATTAATTTGGAATGTGAGTTGTCTTGGTAGTCTTGTGGTGTTTGGAATGTGAGTTGTCTTGGTAGTCTTGTGGTGTTTCTAATGTGAGTTGTCTTGGTAGTCTGTGGTGTTTGGAATGTGAGTTGTCTTGGCAGTCTTGTGGTGTTTCTAATGTGAGTTGTCTTGGCAGTCTTGTGGTGTTTGGAATGTGAGTTGTCTTGGTAGTCTTGTGGTGTTTGGAATGTGAGTTGTCTTGGTAGTCTTGTGGTGTTTGGAATGTGAGTTGTCTTGGTAGTCTTGCGGTGTTTGGAATGTGAGTTGTCTTGGTAGTCTGTGGTGTTTCTAATGTGAGTTGTCTTGGTAGTCTTGTCGTGTTTGGAATGTGAGTTGTCTTGGTAGTCTTGTGGTGTTTCTAATGTGAGTTGTCTTGGTAGTCTTGTGGTGTTTGGAATGTGAGTTGTCTTGGTAGTCTTGTGGTGTTTGGAATGTGAGTTGTCTTGGTAGTCTGTGGTGTTTGGAATGTGAGTTGTCTTGGTAGTCTGTGGTGTTTGGAATGTGAGTTGTCTTGGCAGTCTTGTGGTGCTATCGGTCCAAAGATAAAGAATAACAAATGTGTGTGGCCAAGAGACTAAAGTTAGTCATTTAAAGTGTGTATAAGAGAGCACAGAGTCACTGTATTGAGAATCGTTGCAGTGTATTGTTAATAGAACTTGTGCTGGTAGTTAGTTGCTAAGAGTTCAATAGATTGATTCTCAGGGTGCTAGTGTTTTAGATCTTCAGAGGGTCTTGATGTTGTCCTTTGGAAATGATAGATCACTTATATTGATGAACTGTCAATATCTGCCATGTGAATAAAGAAGAGAATATTGCAGAATGTGTCAGTGTTCTTAGTTTGTAAACAAAGTGTGAAAAAAACAACATCCCCTAGACAACGTGAGCATGAACTGCAAACATACTGAGGAGTTTTGTAACAGTGGGTTTGTAATAGTGGGTTCACCAAGATGATACAATTTGGATTATTTCTTTAGGCATTATCTCTTGTCTGTTGGCATGTCCAATGTTACTTAGTTGCTCTAACACACCCCCCCCCCCAATAAAATCAGTAAAACCTCTGTTTTACAACCTTTAAATCGCCATTAAAATGAGGAGTTAAATTGTAGGGGTCTTAAAAAAAAGAGGAAGAACATATAATAGTGGGTTCACCAAGATGATACAATTTGTATTATTTCTTTAGGCATTATCTCTTGTCTGTTGGCATGTCCAATGTTACTTAGTTGCTCTAACACACCCCCCCCCCCCAATAAAATCAGTAAAACCTCTGTTTTACAACCTTTAAATCGACATTAAAATGAGGTGTTAAATTGGAGGGGTCTTAAAAAAAAGAGGTAGGACATTTTCGAAACAGGACATTGAGAAAAATAAGTAAACAAGTAAAATAAATAAAAAAAGTACATGTACCATTAAATATAGGCAATATCTATCATCTTTCTTTCAGAAATATAGATTAAACTCTGTCTCACAACCAATACAACAGTCACTATCTTCCTGTTCCTCATTAATTCCTCATTGGTAGTTGTTTAAAAGCATGTGTAAGTGCAGAGTCATGCATATTTATGTATAAGGTAAGGGCATTAATAAGAAAATAAGATAAGCGCAATTAATAATGTTGTAATTATTTTGATTTTATCATTGAATACCGGTAGTTATTTTTAAAAAAAAAGAAAGCTGTTATTTCTGTTTGTTTGCATGATTCCCCCCCCCCCCCCCCCCCCATTTTTTTTTTTCTTTTAGACTGTCACTTTGAACACCAGACAAGGTGTCAGCCAGTGCTGAAAGGCGCCTCTTCTTCTTATGCCTTTTTACCCCGTCTGGGGCATAGGCCGTTCACAAGAATTTTCCACTCATCACGGTCCTGTGCTTTCCTTTCCAATTGTTTCCAGGTGCATCCCATATTTTGTGTGTCTGCCTCCAGCTCACGTGTCCATGTATTCTTAGGCCTTCCTCTCTTTCTTTTTCCTTGTGGGTTCCATGTTAGGCATTGTCTGGTGATACTATCTGGGGGTTTTCGGAGCGTATGCCCTATCCATCTCCATCTTTTCTTTATGATATCTTCATCAATGGGCGCCTGGTATGTCCTTTCTAGTAGATCTTTGTTGGTGATAATATTTGGCCATTTGACGTTCAGGATTTTTCTAAGGCATGTGTTTATGAATGTCTGCACTTTCTGCGTAATTCTCGCGGTTGTTTTCCAAGTTTCTGCTCCATATAGTAGAACTGTTTTAACATTTGTATTAAAGATTCTAACTTTGGTTTGCAGTTTCAGCTCCTTTGACTCCCATATTTTCTTTAATAGCACGAATGGAGATCTAGCTTTTCCAATTCTGGCCCTTACGTCAGCATCAGATCCGCTATTTGTGTCTATGGTGCTGCCTAAGTATATGAAGGACTCCACTTCTTCCAGTGCCTTTCCTGCCAGATAGATATGCTTTTGGTTGGATGGGTTTACCTTCATGATTTTTGTCTTGCTTTTATTTATATTTAGACCAAGCTGTGCTGAAAAGCTGAAAGGCGCCTGCTCAGGGCAAATCTGGTCAGCTCCTTGGAGTATTTCAAGGCAGTGGAGAGTTGATAGGTGGCTTTTCATCTTTCTCATTCTCAGTGCCACTGAGCTGGTTATCTACTTGTGAAGAAGAAGCCTGACAAATTTACGGTGCAAGAATTATATCCCCTTCACTATTTCTTAGCTGCTTTAGTGCATCGCCTGCTGTTAAAAGTTGTAAACGAAACTGTTTTCTTCAAGCTCACAAATATAGCATTGCTTTGGAATCAGACTTTTTCAGGTGCTAGGTCGTAACATTAAATTATTTGAAGGTCGCAAGTAGTATTTTAGAGGAAGTTGTTTAAGAGAGGTCGTTTATATAGTACAAAGCATTGATGATTTTTTTTCTGGTTGTATGTTGGAGGAAGTCGTTTAAGAGAGGGTCTCAAAACGGAGGTTTTACTGTACTAACAAAAATCGGATGAATCGGCCATTCAAATTTTTTCTTATGTTTTATTTGTCTTTTCAGCTTTTTTTGAGCTCATGTCTTTCAGAAATCTCAAAAACCTCTCGAGAACAAATAAGGCAATATACACTACTGTTATAAGACCAGTTGTAATTTAAGCAAATGAGACTTGGCTCCTTACAAAAAAAAGCAGAAAACCCTCTCCAAACATGGGTATGTAAAATCTTCAAGAAAATTACAATCTGATGATAGACAATGATGGATAGAGAATCCATAGAAAACAATAGATGTATCAATTTTGCAAAAATCCACCCATTGCCGCAACAAATAAAAAAGGCAGACTGCACTGGACAGGAAACCTTGAGAGGATGCCGGATTGTAGAGCAGTAAAAGTGATTTACAGACAGAAACCTAGAGGCAAATGGCTCACCGGTCGACCATGACTGAGGTGGATTGACAATGTAGAAAAGAAGTTACACCAGCTGGGAGTCTGCCCATTGAGGCAGAATGTCATAGATCGATCCTAATGGAAGGATCTGGTGGCGCATGCCTTTGTTCAGGGTGCCACCGGGCTGTAGCGCCACTGATTATGATGTCTTTCAGAACTATACCAGTATAGACATATCTGAACTATAACTGGTGTGGTTACATCTGAACTTTACCTGTTAAAAGCCTATCTGAACCATACCTTCTATAGTCAAATCTGCTTGTGGCACAGTGTATTCTTGTGTGTCATCTGTATCAGAGCTTGTCTCAGCCCTTAGGGCCTCCATTTCCTGGAACATATATCCTATGTCTGTGAATAGTAAACCGTGTCAGTCCCATATTCTTGTTTACAATACATCTTTCATTATACAGACACATATTGGTCTAAACAACACCAGCTACTTCATAATATTTAAATTTATTTTTAAAGCGTGGTGAGTTCTTTTTGGAAGAATTTTGAGAATATAAATTATAAATTTACTAGGATGCATCAGTTAGGTGGCTTTGTTTTTTTTTTAAACACAAAAACAACAGCTGGAACGAAAGTAGCATAAAAGGACTTGTAATTTATATATTGACACTTCCACTGATCACAATATTAATAATCTGTCATACAAAAGCATAAAAACCAAATATTGAAAATGTTTAAAACTTCTAACAAACAAACTTTTCAATTGTTAAGTGGAGTTGTAAGTTGTGATTATGAAGAGACACCAATGATAAAATTGATGTGCTCACTCACTGAGTTCACTCACTGATGTGTACACTCATTGTGATCACTCATTGATATGTACACTTACTGTGATGACTTATTGATGTGAACACTAATTGTGATCATTCATCAATGTGTACACTGACTGTGATCACTCATTTATATGAAAACTAACTGTGATCACTCATTGGTATGTACACTAACTGATTAATCATTGATATGTAAACTGCGATCACTCATTGATGTGTACATGAATTGCAATCATTTATTGATGTGTACAATAACTGTGATCACTCAATGATATGTACACTGACTGTGATCACTCAATGATATGTACACTGACTGTGATCACTTATTTATGTGATAATCAATAATAAAGAATAATAAAAGCATACTTCAATAACTGAAAAGTCAAAAAAATGCACATATCATTGCACCTTTATGTAAAGGACCCTTGTAGATACTGATGTCTACAAGACTGGTTTTTACCTATTGTGTTATTGGCAACCAGCAGGACAAATTCAAACTGAAAAAATGATAGGCTGATAAACATACTTCACATAACCAGTCTTTGCAATATATTAAAATTGATCCAAAATGCAGTCTATTATTTAGACAAATAATGATAGCCATTTTAGGAAACATTTTGCACTGTTTTATAAGATGATGAAAAAGTCATACAATACAACAGTTTCTATAGTACCATGACTACTTGTGTGATACATGAGGACAAAATTAAAACTTACCACCATGCGTAGCATTCTTCTTATGGACAATGTGTATTTCGTCTCCATGGTGAAGTTCTCTGCGCTGAAATAAACAGAATGAGAGGTGATGCACAGATTTCTTCAGAAATATTAAAAATGTAGTCATTACAAAGCAGTGGCTACTTCACTGTCAAGTCAAAAAATGAAGTCAATGGTGTGTGATTAAAAATAACGGAGTCAATCTTCTTTGTTTGGCATTGGTGAAAACAACCCCTATTATTATTCTTAAGTTTAATTGTGCTATAGACAACCTGCCATCCTGTACACTATAAATATAAAGACTACTGCTGTAGAGATTATTTTTAAGCTGTTGCATTTACAGGCCAGTTCTTACCTCACCTTTACAGAGTTTAATACAATGGTTAAGGAGAGTTCCATTTGTGCTGTGAAGAAAACCAGATGACCGCTTTACTCAATACCAGAACTTTAATTATATTCCTATAAAACTATTTAACATACACATTAATGTACTGCATTTGAAAAATTAAGAAATAACTACCAACTCACTGCCACAAAACATGCAATATATATGCATTACACTGTAAACTCCAAAGCAAATATAAATCATGTTTTGTTACATTCTGACTCTCCTTTCAAATTAAAAATCAAAGTAATTTGTTTCTGCTTCTCATGAAAAATTATAAAAGTAATCATAAAGGAGGTTTTTGGGGGTAATTGAAAAAAAAAAATATTTTAAAAAAAAATTAAGTTTTAATGTTACAGGTTGTAATGAAAATACCTAGAGTCATAGAGCCATACTTTTCCTTGGTCATCCCTTTCAATATAGCAATGCCTTCCTGATATCAGATTGTTGCCTGGGTGGGGCAAATCACAGTCTGATAATAAAAACAAACAAATTTTGATCAAATTAACAACCAGTGACATTTTTAGTATAGGATATATATATAAATTAATTTATACTGTATTTTCCGGCGTATAAGATGACTGGGCATATAAGACGACCCCCTACTTTTCCTGTTAAAATCTAGGGTTTGGGCTGTGCACAAGGTCATAAGACGACCCCCGGCGTATAAGACGACCCCCGACTTTTTAAAAGATTTTCATGGGTTAAAAAGTCGTCTTATACGGCTGAAAATATGGTATATATTTTTGGATGGACCTGATGTTTATAATAATAATGTTCACATTCAGTCAAAAGCAAATGTGTAAATTACTCTCCCCACCACATGCAAACAAATGAAAGCCGATACTAGTGGTCCTGGTATTATAATGGCAGAATACAAGTAATCACAGATGTTCTATACATTATGAATCCATTTCACAAAGTTGATGGTGAATGAAGATGTAAAACATACCACTGTTTCTTCCAATGACAAACTTGTTTTTTTTAATTGGAATGAAAGATGTATCTAGATCCGTTACTGATATCAGCTGGGCCCATGCTTCGATATGGGCATCACCATCTTTGTCCATCCTCTGTTAAATTGAAATTTGAAATACACCATGCAATGTTTGGAAAACAGAAATTAGGATAAAAAAACCATACAACTAGACTTAACCCTGTTAGGACGGAGTCTTTTCGGGGTGTATGTCCCATGAGACGGAGCACTTTTTACAAGCTCGGCATTTGCATTGCAAAAAAATTTATAAAAAATAAACAATTTCCTTAATATATGTAAAACTATATATATTATTGTAGGAAATTGAATGAACTAATGCAATCTTTATGAATCAAACTGAAATATCAACATTTATGCAAATGAGCTACCCTGATTTGTATAGGCTAATTTATGCATATAATTTTTTTATTAAACCTAGAATAAACATGACTTACTTGTATATATTGTGTGAGTTTTTTGTTGGTTGAACCCTGAATAAGTCCTAACACTAATGTTTTTGGGAAACAAGGCCCATGGAGGCCCTTCAGATACATCTGGCACATGGTTCTACTCCTTTTCCAGCCCCCCCCCCTATTTTTCCAGTTGTTACAGACACCAGACACTCACTGTAACAGGCCACCATTTATGACCTAGGGACCTTCTCTTCACCTGGATGTTACTGAGAAAGTTGTCTGCATGTCTATTGGTCTCTCTCATAAACATTTGAGTGATATTTAGTGTAAAAAATAGCATAAAGTACTCAAATGGGGTTCTTATGCCTTATTTATAGGACCTATGATGTATACAAATTCAGAGGTGTCATCTCTGTCCAGTTGAGGACCCCTAATACTAGTAATACTAAACCAAGAGTTCACAAAATTAGCATTACCCTCAATTTGAAAGGCTTCATTAATTTCCTGGTTGTTTTCATCAGTTTCAGTGTCAGATTCACTGCTAGAATATCAAAATTACTAAGCACAGTTTGATCAGAGTCACTATCAGACATGTTAAAATTTCCTGATATAACTATATACACAAAAAAAAAAATCCTGCACTCAAATAAATTTAGCTCACCATCAACAAACACCTTCATTAAAATGCCAGAATGTGCAGGAATACATGAGAATAAATTTCATTCGCTGGTACAATGCCAAGGCAGTCAATCACGAGGCTCGATTTATCGGCAGATGGTTTCGGACTTTTGTCTTTCTCGCTTATCCACCTTGGGCCGATAGATCGGCCCTTACCCTTACGTCCCAAGAGGGTTAATTATTGAAATTTAATTGATCACCTCTTTATCAATCTTCTTGTCCCCATGAGATTTTGAACATTTATTTAAAGCAACACACTCACCAAAAAAAAAAATCCTTGAAATATACCTGTCTATCCTAGGGGAAAAACAAATTAACATTAATGACACAATAAGCAGAAATTGTTATTTTAGGGAATTATTCTAGATTTTATCAGTCCTTTGCATTCTAAAATATGTACCAGCAATGCTATGAAAAGACATAGTGTGGGTCAGTGAAGTCATGATATTTTTCTGCCAATTAAAGTTATTGAAAATATTTAAGATAAGATAAGATTCTTTTAGTGATCCAAATAAATGGAAATGTTTTTTGATTGCACAAAAATAAAACAATTTGAACACAAGACATTTATAATAATTATTTATTATAATTATTTCAAACAGCCATTCAGTGAGTTCTCTTAGCAAAATCTGGGACTTATTAGTTCTCATTCAGATGTGTGTCTTCAGAGGAAGCACGCCGGTAAATTCGTACAGATTGGGGAACAAAAGAATTTTTATATTTATTTATTTATTTATTTAGGCATTTTTATATAGCGCTTATCATAAAGCTCTAAGCGCTTTACAATTATTAAAACATGTAAACTAAGTAAATACAAATGAGACACTAGGATAGTAACTACTATTCTATAGAAACAATGAAAATGGCTATAAAACGAGGACACTTTGACACTTCAGGATCAACCCGAAACAGAAAATTTATCTCTGTCAGTCCTCACCCGGATGGAAAGAATTCGTCCCGAACGGCCCGATCCTAAGTATCTGTGATGAAGAGGGCGGGATGTATCATCCAAAATGTGTTTAGTTTGTGTTATTTCCTAGCTTTCTTGATTAGTCAGTTTATGCGGTGTTAAATATCAGACGTTGAATTCCCACACCAGCAGGTAATACTGAAATTTAGCAGGCTTCCAATTGTTGCACTGTATAATAAGTTAACAACTTGCTTGTTTACGCCGAAGTTGTACAGTTTTTTGAGGTGGAATAGTCTTTGGTTGAATTTCTTATACCAGGTACAGCATTTGGCCTTGCTCCTGCCATGTTAGCTTATTATTAATGGTGACACCAAAGTACTTGTATGCCTCTACTTTCTCCACAGTTTGATCTTTTATAATAATAATAATAAAGTTCATCTCAAAAACACGCTTCATCCCCAAAGGCTCGAAGCGCGGTGCAAAGTCAACAAAATACAAATCTATAATTTACCACATTTAAAACAAACGCAACACTACAAAAACTAATTACTAGCATACAATTGCAAAGTCTTTCTAGCCATTTCAACCCCAAGCAACACAGCCATTATGCATTAACTGGAAAATAAGGTTGTGATGAGATCTGTAATCTGGTGTTTGACCCTCCTGAAACCAACAACCATTTCTTTTGTTTTTGAGACATTCAACTGGAGAAAATTTTCATCGCACCAATTGATAAAGCTTATATCTAAGTTGTGGTATAGGCCTTCTCCTTCAGATATTAAGCCAACAATGGTGGTATCATCAGCAAATTTAAGATTGGAACGGTGTTGCTTGAGCTTTGAATATCATTTGTACATATTTTATACAGTACACGAGAGAGAACGCAGCCTTGTGGTGCCCCGGTGCTTATTTCTCTGGTTAGAGATAATTGGTTATTTACCTTGACATATTGTGGTCGATTTGTTAAAAAGTTCAGTATCCAAGCCTGAATTTTATTTAAATTGACACCTAACGAGGAAAGATTGAAGCATTTCATAACCATGTCAAAAATGTTTAATGAAGTATAAATCAAATTTTTTATGACACGCCATTCTTCAGGTCTCTTAGGTGCTAATATTAATATTCATTGCAGGCATTGCAGGTAATCCCACAGATGGGTTTAAAGTCCAAATAGGAGTGAGACAAGGGAGTCTCTTGTCCCCCTTAATATTCCTACTTGACATTGACTGGATAAAGAAAGTATCAACAGACAAAAAGAGTTTGATATCATAGTTTGGTTCCAGGACTTGACTTGCCACACCATACCACAGGGCAGCGCGGGGTTATTTATTGCTGACAAACTATAATTTGGAAAATCTTTATAGTACGAAGAGTAACTGACACACTAGCAAATCAGTCACTATCAAGGACACACTCAAACATACACCGACCTTCTAAAAATTCTGTATGAAAACAAAAAAAATTATATTTCATATCAAAATATTTTTTTTACAAAAAATGTAAATTAAGTCAAATACTTCATTTAAAAAATATATTTATTATGAGATTATATTTTCCATTAATGAACAGGTAAAAGTAATAAACAAATCATAGGTACAAAATCCATTACATCAAATCATCAAATTAATATTAAATAATTGATTCACACACCAACCAATGTTCCCTCTAAGGTTTGCTGGTTCATGTGCAAAATCATACAGTTGTGTGCAAAGTTTTACATTTACAGCATCAATTTTTTTGTATGCAAAATTTTACAGCACACAACACACTTACATGGAAATTTGCTGCGTGGATACTCAAAACTGCTGCGCGGTGTCTATGAGATAGCTGCGCGGCCGCGTAGCCGCACAGCTTAAAGGAACATTGACACCAACACAAAACGTAGTCATCTATTTTTGGAAATGACCTTCCCCGGATTCAGCTAACCCTATTAAAACATGAAGTATGGTTTGACATTTGATGCCAGTAACTAATGTATACATGTACCATTAGTTTATTATTGTTATTAAAAATAAAAACTGGATTTTAAAAAAAAATTATTTTAAAAATCGGCATCTGGTTTGTGAAAAGCAACATGTGGTTTTCATTAAACATCCTTACTTTTAACTAGACTAGACTAGTAGTAGTAACTTTCTTGTACATAGGCCCTACTCTGCGCTACTATATTGACAAGAATGAATAAATACTAACACTCACTTAAACAGTTACTCAGATTAATAAGTATTATATAGTTTATAATTTATTGGCTACACCAGGGGTGGACAAGCTACAGCCTTCTGGCCAAATCTGTCCAGCAACTTCAGTTTATCTAACCCTCAGAGACAATAGTGATTTTAATGAGACAGAAGAATTCATATCTCTTCATTGGTAATTAATAAGCATGGCCCAAAAACAGGGGAGGTCATATTTCAATGAAGTAAATTAGTAAACAAAACCACTGCTCAATTCAATTATGACAAAACTGAAGTGAGTGACAAAAGATGGTGGCAAATGGTGGTAAAAATTTGTGTGGTGGAGGGAAAAGTTTTATTGGGGAAATTTACAAGGCTGTCCCAAGTAAGTTTTGTCACTGCATTATTCATCAACAGACATTGCAAGAAAAATATATGGATTTTTCTTGTGTCATGGAACATATGGTTTCAACAGTGAAATTTATTTGCTCATATGGTTTCAATCATTGACAAATTAAAACAGAATATCCCAACTTAACTTACCACTATCAGATGACTCACTTGTGGGAAGGATTTATCACACTTTTTTTATGTTTTCTTGATTTAGAGAAGGCGCACGCTATATTGTTACCTACAAATAGTGAACTGATTGGCTTTGGAAATAAGCTTTTACTGCAGATTTAACAAAACATCTGAGCAAATTGTATCACAAATTACAAGGCAAAACTTTATGCTGAGATGAAGGCAATTCAGCAAAACAAATTTTCTACTAATCCAAATTATGATGTTTTACTTCAATCTATTTTCATTCTATGAAAAATTCAAACCAGAAGCTACTGGAGATTTTGTGCAAGAAGTGCTTTTCTTACTTGAGATGGCAGTTTCTGAACGTTTTTTTTTTTTTTTACTACTTATGAGATTAAGATATTTTCAAAATTAAAATATGTTAAATCTGGTTATTATAGTTACAAATTACTGACATTATCTTTTTAACTTAGTAAGTTCTTAGGCTTAGTAGTTTTTTGTATTATTTTAGGAGGACAGGACTTAGCCACTTAACTTAATCAAAAAAGTCTGCCTTTTTATTTTTACTAAAAAATTTAGACTTAGACTTACTTCCTAACTTACTTACTTAGACTAACTTAGAGGATTTAGACTAGTCACTAGTCTAGTTAACTAAAGTGTACTAGAGTAGGTATAAAATAAGTTAGTAAAACTAAAACGAAGTGGCTATTCCACAATATGACAATATCAGAAGTGAGAGGTTGAGATTAAACACATTTTAAAAATATTATTGTTGGGTTTGTAAGACAAAATTTGGTATCAAATGAAAGATAATATATTATATGACTATGATAATAATTATCAGTTATACGTTTGTAAACTTACTTCTTCAGTTTAACTAAAATTAATTACCACAAATGACATCCGAATAATATTTGGGTACCGGTATGCTCTTAGTTAGTCTATAGTCTATAATGACACTATACTTAAGGCATGACCATTGTTTGAAGTTTAAGTCTAGTTATTCTGTATTCTGATTGATTAGTTTTAATGTTGCTATGACTATGTGTGGTTGGTTTTACTGACTAATTCAGGAAGTACATTCTCTTAATTTTTAAAAAATTATGTCATTATGATTTTTTTTTTGGGTGACCTAAAATGTAACGGTATAGCATAGGCATAGGCCATAGACACTTCGTTTTTTTAATATTCATTTTTATCATATTTTATCAAATTTAAATTTGTGAGATATTCTGATCATGTCTACATTTAAGCCTTAAGGCATAATCGTCGATGTATCTTAGTCTTAGTCTCTCTAAGAAATTTAGACTTTGACTTAGACTTATAATTATAATATATACGATACAAGCAATAATACTAATACTAGCATTAATACTAATACTGTCATTCAATATTTAATTAAAATTAATTCAATTAAAATTTAACGTTTAACACATTAAAAGTTATAGTTCAAAACAACCCATGATGCAGCTAATTATGCATAATACTTTTTTTTTAAATTGCCAAACTAGCGGTAATAAGACTTATTTGGCTAAGATCCCAGCCGATTGCGTATAGCCTATAGCATAACGCTTCCCTTTCCGCGAAGTAAAAAAAAAAAAAAAATCATTAAAATACCAAAAATGGCAATAACACAGCTAATTATTTACCACTATTTAAATTTTAAAATTTAATAAGCAAAAAAAAATAAATAAAAATATATAAATTTTTTAAATCCCTTTCCGCGAAATAAAAAAAAAAAAAAATCATTAAAATACCAAAAATGGCAATAACACAGCTAACTATTTACCACTATTTAAATTTTAAAATTTGATAGGCAACAAAAGGTCAATGAAAATATATATATTTTTTAAAGTTTATTTAATAAGCTTACTTTTCTTTCGTTTCATTTAAAATATTATTTTGTACAGGTAATAGACAAAAGCCGAAAAAAATTTATTACGGGGCGTACACTTTTTAATAGTTTGTCCGTGGACACTGGAAAAGACACAATGGCGACGAGTTACAGAAATCTTAAACTTGCCCTTCAAACGTATCGAAGATTTTTCGCCTCCAAGGCCGGCTCTGCTAGTCATGGCCATGGGGGTATGTATCTAAGGGTAAACCCTTATTTTAGAGCGATTTATTATTTCTAGTGAAATAATTTTTTTTTGTTAAACTTCTGATTTATGACATTAACCCACTTACCGTGACTTACTCTTAGGACGGAGCCTTTTTCGGGGTGTATGTGCCAAAAAGACGGAGCAATTTTTACGAGCTCGGCACTCGCATTGCAAAAAAATTTATAAAAAGTAACCTATTTCCTTAAAATATGTAAAACTAGGTAAAAGTGCAGTTCAGGTGCGTATATTATTTCTTAGCGCATTTCGTATTTTATCATGTAAACTTACGTGTATTCTTTATTAATTAAATCCAGGCAGTTATAGTTAATTAATCCTGACTAATACAGCACTTTTTTTCTTTTTTCTTTGATTTCTAAATCGTCTTTACACCCCAAACCAAAGACGCATAGCCCCATTTGCTTTGTTTTTTTTTTCCCACCCTATGGCCAGATTTTTAATCACCTATAGTATGCTAAACGAAATTTTCAAACTGTAGGCATGTTCACCGAAAAATAAAGAAATACTGGAGAAAGGAAAGAGGGGGGAGGGGGGAACTTAGATGTTCTGTTTTGGGATTGGTGCCGAAAATTCGTGTTTTTCTCTTACATGTGATGTATAGATGTAATTCCATATGCATATATTCTAAAGGGTGGTGAACTCATGAATTTAATTTTTCCTAAAACTAGATAAATACACGGTGTCGCTCATGATGGCATTAAAAAATTAATTATTTTTTTTAGACGGAAGGATGCCATACATATATATAGCTAACATCTAAATTAATTGGTCTGTAAAAAACACATAAATAATTGTTTTTTTTTTATTTTCTCTTCTCCCATGAAAAAACTAATAAAATACAATCCGAAATGTATCCCGATCCCCCGTGGTATCCCTTCCCAGTTTTGATCCCATTCTCCAGTATGCGATCACTTCATATAGATCTCGATACAATAGGATCCCATTTCCCCAAAATGATCCTGTTTCCCCATTGGGATCCCAACACATGGGATCCCTATCCCAATGGAATCCAATTTCCCGTTGGGAACCTGAACCCAGTGGGATCCAGTTTTCCAATGGAATCCAATTTCCCGCTGGGAACCTGAACCCAGTGGGATCCAGTTTTCCCGATGGGATCCCATACCTGTAGAGATCCTGTTCTTGGTTGGATCATCCTGTTCTTGGTTGAATCTCTATTTCCAATGGGATCTCTATTTCCGGTGGCATCTCTATTTCCAGTGGGATCCCATTCCTTAATGACACTAATGATCGGCATTTCGCATGCTCCCACCACCCTTTGTTCTCTCAGTGCTCGGAAAAAATGTACCGATATTCCTTTGAAGTTGAAGCCTTGGTTTGGGGACAGATGGGGGGGGGGGATTAGAAATGGATTAACGATCAAGGCACCGACCGAACACACTTATTTCCTGGAGTGGAGCTTTTAAAAAAAAGGGGGGGGGTGAGGAGGGGGTTCCACGAATTTGTGCCAATGTGTGATCATGTGTTCAATTTGTTTTAAACATTTGTGAGAATGCAGAAATGGGGGAAATCGGCCTTGATAGCGTGGGGTCACTTATTGGTTGCCATCTCAAAATGGTAAGCAAATACGTTGGCCGTTATGGGTTAGGATTAGGCTAGTGCTTATATATAATGAGACGGACCAATTTTGCGGTCAGGACGACCAAGATGAACAAGAATTGAAATTGTTGATCCCACGAAAATTTTAAATGATGCAGCTAGAGACCGACCGAATTTCGGCTTCGGTTTCGGCGCCGAAAGTTGCCATATGATCACTTTCGGCCTACCGAAACTGAAAAGTTCACTTTCGGCTTCATTTCGGTGTCGGCCAAAAGAGAAAAGTTAACTTTCGGTTTAATTTCGGTTTCATCCGAAAATGACTTGGACTTTCGGCCGTATGTCCGACCGAAATTGACTTAGTTTTTTGGTCATCTACCAGAAGTCAGACTGTCTGTCGCTAGACCGACAATCTGATATTCATTAGTGCTCGCGTCTTGCTGCCATTGTATGTTAAATGACTAAATAATACTCAGCGAAAGCTGCCCACGGCTGCATGATGACCTACTGGTCCTATATTTCCATAAATTTACATCACCGTTATCAGTATGGAGAATTTAATCTCTTATTCAAGTGTATGGCTCGTTCTAAAACAGTACACAACAAAAAGACGATACAAAATGATAACAATAACCAAGAATACGATACTCAAACCATTTTTAGTCTTGTTCCAGCACTTAATAATCATCTCGGCGGCCACGTTTCTCAGTATTGCAGAATTACTTATACTGATATACATTTCATGAAGTTTCTATATTTTCTAGAAGGTTCTATTTTTCATTACGCACGGGTACCCCCTTCCACGTCCCCACTCCACCTTCTTTTTTTCCCCCCTCAGAGTGCTCGAAATAAAAGGGTTGTCCCTTGAAGTCTTTGGGAAGGTTGGGGGGGGGGTAGAAGATGATCACCAACTAAGGCAGCGGACACAAGTCATCATTGTCCTGGAGTGAAGCTGAAAAAAATGTGGAAAAAGGGGGGGGGCACGAATACGGTACGAGCCATATGATTGATCACGTGTCCACTTTAAAAAAAATAAAAAATTATGACGTTGCAGAAATGCGGGAAATCGGAATAATAGTGTGGGGTCATTTATTGATAGTCATCTCATACTGATGGCTGCAAACACGTTGTCCGTGATTGGTCAGCTCTAATTTGAGCAACCCCTCCCCTTTTTCCGTATGCAAATGCGCTTATTAATGGTGACTGATTTGCGCTGAGTAAAGTGAGGGCTAGTGATTAGTAATAAGACGGACTCGTTTTGCGGTATTGCGGGTAGTGGGATCATTTTGTTAAAAATGGCAGGACGACCAAGAATGTTTATCCAACGGAAATTTTTAGCATTTTGGTTTATTCGCGCACTTTGTGAGACAACAAATAACGTTAATACAACTATGGAATTTCTCGTAAGGCGCTCGTAACCATTGCTATGTGGCTTGTAAACTGGCTACGTGTGTCAAGTATGTGAGTTCCCTATAATTACCGGGATCTGGATCTCACCGGAAACGGGAACTCACCGTAACCGGTATCCCACCGGGATCGGGAACCCACTGGATCGGGATCCCACCGGGATCGGAATCTCACCGGAAACGGGATCCAATCGGAATCGGGATCCCACCGGGATCGGGATCTCACCGGAAATGGGATCCCACCGGATTGGGATCTCATTTAGTTTGGGATACCACCGGAAACGGGATCTCACCGGGATCGGTATCTTACCGGGATCGGAATCCCACCATGACCAGGATTCTACCGGAATCTGGATCCCATCATGATCCTTCTGGGTGCCATCGGAAAACGGGAAAAACAAAATGTTTACATAAGGTATTTGTTATTTACTTTTAAGTGGTTTTATAGGAGACAAATTAATTATTTTTTTTTACCTATAGTGGTGTTTTTTTTGTTGTTGATATTTCGTTTAATAGCAATGTGAATTAAAAGGACGTAGCAGACTTTTTTTTCTGAATGCAATCCTGAGCAAATCCGGTTTTATTTAAAAGTAAAGTTATAAAATAAATACAACATTTATTTTAACCAAGATTCATCCAATTGGGCAACTTTTATAACGTAACTTTAAAGACAGAAGAGTTATCCATGATTTACCACAATGGCTCCGTAAAAGACAAAAGATTCAGGAAAATGTACTTTTTTTTATCTCGTAAAATGTGTTAAATTGTTGTTGTATTCCAATAAAAAGATGGTATTTTACTTTTAAAATACTTTTTATAAACAATACACGTAAGTTTACATGATAAAATACGAAATGCGCCAAGAAATAATATACGCACCTGAACTGCACTTTTACCTAAAACTATATATATTCTTCTAGGAAATTGAATGAACTAATACAATCTTTATGAATCAAACTGAAACTGAAATATCAACATTAATGCAAATGAGTAGATACTTCAAGGGAGACTACTACTTTTTGTGTCTGGGATTTCACAATCGGCACCAAAAAATCCGAGTTTTTAATTTTCCGATGTGTGTGTCTATTTATTATTAAATTAGTATTTTCGATATATATTTGAGTTCCGTTTTCGGCCTTATAATTAGGTAGACATCTTGGCCTACATTTTAATCAATTTCTTTTTCATTTACAATCAGTCAGCTTTGAGAAAATCCTTGGTAAATATAAGGCAACTTTCATCATTAAAATTAAGTCGAAGGAAAAAATTTGTTACTACCAAATTTTTTTTGCATCTGGGGAATCTATTGATCTACATGTATGCCAATTTTCACAGCGATAACTGTCTTACGAGAGACGCTATGTTTCTACGCGTTCGCAGCAGTTCATGCAGCTCGCTCAACCTAATTTCGCCATAGGGTGGGCCATGCCCCCTTTGTAATGGCGGAAGTTGCCGATACTTAGGAAATAT